GCTGGAGTACTGTTTTGATGCAATTATACTAGTGCAAATTTCCATAATGTAAGCAAGTCCTAAACGATCTAAGTGATGACTAAAGGAGGGAAACAACAACAATCTGTGCAGGTGGAAGAGGAGCTGGTTAGCATGATTGTAGGAGGCATAACTACAAGAAATAGGATTTTATCCTGTTAAAGGATATTTGGTATGAATCTCAAGATGAACAGTCTAATGGAAAACAGTGAGATCAATGCAGCTGCAGAATAGCCTCTCACTGGAGGTAATAGAAACCTATCTGAGAGGCATAAGCAGCAAAAAAATTCAGTAAAAAATACACTTTCATTAGACTTTGCACTGAAGTCATCTGAAATGACAAGAGAAGCCAGAAATTTTCCATTCACATATTTTTGTTTATGGGCATTTGGAATTTTGCTTGTTTGTTTTATTTTTGACTGATAGTGTCTACTTCAAAATGAAGGGGTTTTTTTGTTTGTGTGGTTTTTTGTTTGTTTTTTTTTTATCTTATTTGGGAGCAGAAAGAGAAAAATGCTGAGTTTTCAAGTTTCATACATTCTACAATAAGCCACACATGTTCAAGAAGCTGTGAAGGAGGACCTGAACATTTTTTTTTTATTATTATTTTTTTTATGCTTGAACTTTGTCCTATGTTATTTCCCCTGGTGTTTTGGAGAAGCGTGTTGCCTGGACACTGCATTCGTTTGATGTTTTGTCACTGCTCTTAGGAGCACAGCTAAAAAAATCTTACTGTTGGCCTTCCCCCCCCACACACACTCTTCTGTTTCCCTTTTCCCTCTGTTTGTCTCACTCACACTCACTTTATCTCTCAGTTTCATGCCAGTCAGTGTTCCCAGTTAGTATCACCCAAATGCTCCTCCACCTTTGGCTTTAAATAAAAGCTTTAAAAACAGAGTATCTGTCCAAGGTGGAAAACATCTCTTTGCTAATGATCAGTCACTGCAATGAAGCCACAAAAGGGGAATGGACAGGATTTTCACCGCTTTTGTGTGCAGTGGCTTTTATTGATCTATCAGCTGGATGCTTCTGGGTTGCTCTGTGTTACGTCCTTAAAAAGAGCTGTGACCTATGCAGTGTTCGAGGCAGCATGGTCCCACCATGGATAATACTGACTGAGCATGGATGGGGCACTGCAGTGAGCTCCCAGATCCAGTGTAGAGGGCTGGAACTGAACTGATCACGTCTGCTCCCATGGTGAGGAACAGAGGGGCTTGCCTCTCTACCTGTCCCAGCAGTGCTCCATGGTACTGGATGTGCAGAGGGCTCACACACAGCCCCAGGCACTGCAGGTTGTACCTACAACTTTATTCATAGCAGAGGGTACTGAAGGGCCCCCAGGAATGGCCACCCAAGGGAGCTGTGGATTTCAGGTTGTTTTTTTTCTTAATTATTTTGTGCATTTTCTATATGAAAGGCACACAAAATGCCTCTGAATCTTTGCCTCCTAGTCCTGAGGGGGGATTGGTAATAGAATATATTGATTTTGGCAGAGTTGCCTCAAATGATCCTCCTCTCTTTTGCTTTCTCCCAGCCCACCCTTTCTCTACACCCTCCCTCCCCTCCCACCCCCCTTTTGCTTTCCTACAACCACCTCTTTAATTATAAAGAAAAAAGAGAACAGAGGCAGCCATTTTGGAAACATTTTGCCATCTAAATTCTTCAGGGCTTTGCTTGCTGCAGCTTATCTACCACATCAGAGAGACCCTTTCAGTGTTTGACAGCAACTTTAGAGCACTTGCAATGAAAACAAAGGAGTTCAAACCACTGTGGCCTAGACTGCTTGTGTCCCAAATGGGAGTTTTTTCGTGGTTTTTTGTTGTTGTTGTTTTGTTTTTGTTTGTTTGTTTGGTGTTTTTTTTTTTTTTTTTTTTTTTTTTTTTTTTTTTTTTTTTTTTTTTTTTTTTTTTTTTTTTTTTTTTTTTTTTTTTTTAAGAAGTGCATCCAGAATTAAAATTGAGTGAAGATCTTTCTCTCTAAGTTAGGAAATAACCTCTCTGGTGGATTACATCAAACTGGGTGCTGCTTTTTGTTGTCATTGTTGTTCTTGGCATCTTCTTATTTTGAAAGGAATTCAATAAAACAAGGTCCTTCCTTAGAAAAACCCCAATTAAAAAGTTTCTTGAAGCACATGAGTAATTGCCCTGATGTCAATATGGTTATACACATGCTTCACATTGGAATTAAAGACCCTGAAGAGCTGAGACCAAAGTAAAGATAGATAAAAAACCATACTGGAGTTACTGTGTTTCTATCAGTTAAAGGAAATTGCAAATCAAACCACCGTGGGGGTACAGTAACACCATGCTGAGCCAAGAACAACTGACCTATCTCTGAGTCAGGCTTGTTACTGAGGGATTAGCAAGTGCTGACAGCTATTGCCCAGCCCTGGTGGGAAGCTGACTTGTGGACATCATGACTAAGAGCACTGTTTGCTTTTAGGGTGCTGGTATTGATTTTTCCAAGCACTGGAAAGAAGATGAGCTGAAAAAAGAGCTGGGTTTAAGCCCTTCTGATCTTTTGGGCATCCTTGCTGTTGCCAAGTGTCCTCTCCAGTACCACCTCTACCAGCGTGGTACTCCCGGTGCTAAACAAAATCCTTCCCTGAGATATGCTCCTGCAGTGTCCTCCTGGGGCCATAATAACTCAGGCAATTCCCTTTGTTAGGTGCAAAAATACATACACAGACCCTCTTTTTCCTGGAGAACTCTCTTCTGGTAAAAGCTGGGTACAGCTCCAGCAATGGTCTTGCCAAAGTGTGAGTATACAAGAGAATAAGGACCTCTGAGATACATTTGCTCCATTTTGACAGGGTCTCTAAAACAAAACTCCTATAAGCCAAGGATGGAACTGACTCGCTGGTAACAACTAAATGATTTTGTAGAGCATTAAAACCAAAATAAAAGCCAGGAAGGCTAAAGGACTTCCTATTTAGAGGTAATACTTCAAGACTCTTTTGCTTTGTAGATGCAAAGGGAAAAAAACTCTCTAAGAGAGACATATGGAATTTTATTACCATTTTACCTACTCAGACCTTTTAATATAATTTATTGGGGAAAAAAATACAACAAATCTCAGTCCTAGTAGTGAGTAATCCTTTTACATGAAAACAAGCTGAGACCTCAACATCAGCCTGATCATGTAGAAGAAGAGCACTTCATAATGATCCATGATAATAAGAATAGCATAGATTATGCTGGTAATAACAACACAGGTGTCCACAGCCCTGTATCTTCTTACACACTTAAGAAACAAGCATATCCTCAGTGATCACAGCTATGCTAGGATATAAAATTATTTCTTGGTGCCTAACTAGGGACACCTTTGTGTTCCTTGATCCCTTTGCAGGTGCTACTGAAACCCTTCCTGACAAAGACAGTCCCTGCTTTAACAAAATCGCATGCATGCATCTCCCGCTCTCCCCCAGCAAAGCCTGCAGTACAAAGCCAGTGTGATGAAGCAAAAAGCGTTTGGATATGGAAACATATTTTGGTTTCAAGCTTCCAAGAGGCCTTTTCATAAGCAAGGAAAAGAAAAGAGGTACTCGAAGAGGGAAAATGCATTGACAGTTATCTTCATATAGTCACATATAAAGGAGTCTAAACTATGGACCTGTTTCTTGCACATGAACCTGATATGTTTATTGAAAGGTTTCTTAATCTCTTTTATGTTGTCTTCAGTGCAGCACCTCTTTCAAAGACATTATGATCCCATTCCTTAATTCTCAGTGGAAAGGGTACTGCTCTGAAGACTGGAAATTGCATTTTTCAAAGATATTAGATATAGCAGTGAAAAATTAAAACACTCAGTTTTTCTTTGGGAAAGTTGAAGATAGGGATTTCCTGCCTGTCTTAGATGAATCAAAAAAGGCCTGAATCAAAATCACAGAACCTTAAACATTACAGCTAAAATGGCATAGAAAGGTCACCTAACCCATCTCTTTATCACTAATTCAGGAGTACAAATTGCTTGCTACAGCTTAGGGCCTTCCTAGGTGCTGAGATCATCTGGTGCAAAACTGTTTTAACAATAGGGAGACTCCCTCTCTCTGTAAACAAACAAAAAAAAATAGGGGTTTATATTTCCGTTTCTCAAAAGAATTATCTAATGGAAGAGCCAGCCAGTGGTGGAAAATATTTCCATTTTTGGAAATATCTCCATTTTTGTTAATGGTGAGAGGTTGGGATTCCAATGAAACAAACTGATGCTTCTGATACTTTTGATGCTGTTGCATGTATTAGAAGTTTCCTTGGAGCATCAAGCTGGCTTCTTTCCAGCAACACATAGTACACGAGTCTAACAGTGAGACCCTAGGTCTTCACTTGAGCTAAACTTCCCTGGCTTTGGTTGGGTTTTATCTACACACAGAAATTTAAAACAACTGAAGAAGAAGTGAACATGGATCCTTCTAATAATTTCTTGGGTTTGGGAAGAAATAAATTAGGAGTTATTCAGTTGTCAGGGAGACATATTTACATTAAGTTATTATGCTGGGATGAAATTGGATACAGACTTTACCGCATGAAGAATGAATAATGCTTTGAAACATTTGCAACACAGAGCTATTGAGACAGACACTGTCCCAGTCCAGTCACCTGGGATTAAACCGCAGCCCAGTCCCACCTCTCAACTGCAGATTTTCTCCAGCCACTAGAAATGCTCTCTTTGGCTGAGCAAGGAGAATTAGCACAGCTGCTGACTCTCCTCTAGGTGACCAGACACACTTTCTGGAGATGCAGGATGCCCCTGGGGTGAGTAACGTGGCTCATCCCTTGTTAAGCAACCTTCCACCTCTTTTTCTAAGACACACACACACACACAAACAATCCCTACTTTATGTGTGAGTGTGTGTCTGTGCAGAGTGGCTCTAACCAGACTGAAAAAGGCAGAAGCTAGAGAGTCACAGAACTGAGTCTTTCTGAGGGTCTAAACACAGAGAGACGCTACAGCTGTAGCTGACACCCCTTCCCCCATGCAGTTACCTGTGCTAGTGCTTTGTATCCAGTGGTTCCCACAACTCTTCAGTAGGGACGATTAGCATCCTTTGGCCTCTTCAGCTGCACCTTCAGCCTCTTCATGCCAATCTGGAATCCATTCATGGCCTGGATAGCAGCTTGGGCACTGGCAGGATTGTCAAAACTCACAAAACCTGTCAAAACATGAGGCAAGGCAGGGGGCTTAATGAGCTGAAGGGTGCCAAGGCACGTACATGCAACGACCACTGAGAATGAACATGGGGAGGGGGGTGAGGGCTCTGAGAGAGGGGAAGTGAGTAGGTAGGAGGGTGGGCGGGTGGTCAGGAGAGTGAGGAGAGGATGATTGCCAATGTGGGACAAAGGATAGGAGGGGTTGTTACAGATCAGTGTCCCAGGACACAGTGCCTGGTCTGAGTGCTAGTTTGAACACAAGACTATGTGAAGCACAGGGATCCAAATGTTGGTGCCACTGAACCAGCACACACAAGATTTGGGTCACCTTTGAGCTGGGAGTCAGCAGATGTAATGCATGGTCTCAAGGCACTCTGTCCTACTCTATGGCCCTCCATCATACTGGGGTAAGCCTCTAGACCCTTCTTAACTTGCCAGCATAAATTTTCCTTTGCCTTCCAATATTAACGATGAGAGGAATCTGATATACCTACTGCTACTTCCTTATTATGACAATATAAGTAAAATGTGAATTTAATAAGTTCTCCATTATGGTATTCATTGGCTTGAATAGTTTGATTGTTGGCCAGCTAAGCAGTATAAAGACCTTTAATAACTGGCAATTTCTTCAGACTTTATGTTGACTCTGCAGTTGAGAGAGATGAACACTAGTGCCTTCCTAACATGGTTTCCCTAAGTAGTTTCATACTTTGCCAGCAAATCATCCAATCAACCATGGTGCACATCCAGCAGCAGAAACAACTACAGTGACTGAATGTTGTAGCTATGGGCCACTTAAAATGACATTCTTTGTCTCAATGGAAGGCTAGTTCTCTGGCAATCTGACAAGCCAAGATAGTTCAGAACCACACAGGATGCAATGCATCTAATGAATTTTGCATTGGGAAGGATATTTGGTGTGGGTTGATTTATTTATTTTTTTTATTTTTTTTTTTTTAATGTTAGATCCCCATAAAAGCCTCATTTATCCATACTGTGTATGACTGTAGTTGGAGTGACCATGGGTCTGAGGTATTAGTGAGGCAGGTGATCATCATATTGTACAAGAATTGCCTCTGCTGTCTTTGCCAGAAATGTCACTGTGTGCCAATAACATTCCTGAGCACCAGTCCTGGGTGAGACTAGCCTGGATCAGCCTGCACTCCAGACAAAGCCATCTGTTTACCCACCCCTGCAAGGCTCTGGCAGCTCAAACCAGTCCTAGGAACCTAGTGTCTCTCAACAGACAGGCTGAAATGAAGAGACAGTTTGTGAGCCCCTCAAAAAGCTAATGCTGAGTGTTTGCTGCCAGGTATACACCTGGTCCTGACAACAGCACCAGACCTGGCTTACAGCCTTGGGCTGTACTGTGAATGCATTCAGCAGCACCTCCTCCCTGGTCTAGTGCCTCCTTGAAAGCAAGTCTCACAGGGTGGCTTCCATTTGAAAATGGCAGAGCCGCTTATGGAAGGGCACCTTCTCACTCCTGGATTCAAGCTGTGCTCCCTGCCTTTGGCTAATATTGTAACTTCATGACAGGCCATAAAATCTGTGGTCTTAGACTGCAAGTGAGACAACTCAGGTTTACTGAGTATGGCACATGTGGTTTTACAAGGGAGGCACATGGAATAAACAGGGATCCCTCTCTGTCCTCCTCTCTTGTAGCCAAGGCTCCAAGTAACTGGTGTCCAGGCAGTTTTCCTGCCAACCACCTGGATGAGGGGGTACCAGCATGGCAGCTCTGAAGATGTCATAAAAAGTACTGCTCAAGCCTCACAGCAATCATCAATTTCTACGGAGAAAACTGGAGAGTAATGAGCTATTCAATAGCAGTGGATCTGCTCTTGCGGTCACGTATTAGCCAGTAAGTGCCTGGTAATGTTCCCAGTTCACATTTGACTAGTTGAATAATCCATTAGTCAACAAAGTCCTATGATTCAATCTCAGCGAAAGAATAAACTAAACACCTCCTGATTTCACCCGAGTTCATTCAGACTTTAAATGCTCCCTTGGGAGTGCTTTAGTTGAGCTCCAACTTTAAATATGTTGTCTAGATACCTCACATCTTTGAATATAGCATGTAGTGAAAGCCATTTCTTTTCAAGATCATGTCTGGATTGCTAATATTCCTGACCAAGACACATCAGCTACATCAATAGCCTAAAACTGTGCCAGGGTAGTTCAGAGGAATGGAAACCTAATAATCTGTAGTGCTGAAATTTTTGACTTGTGCTTAACTCCAAACAATTCCTAGACAAAGCCTGAGTAATAGCACAGAACAGAGGCTGCTTTCAGCAGTTAACTTGGATGTTGCCATGATACTCTGGAAAGTGAGAAAATTTAATAATTTGGGTGTGGGCCATTTTGTGCCAGCTGTTCCCAGAGCTAGGGGAAAGTGCCAGGTATGTTTACTTTACTAATATATATGTAGTGATCAAATATCAAAACGGAGTTGGCTGCAGCTGAATTATTGCTTAGATCACATCTTTAGAGAACCTACCTTGCCTGGGAACTTTAATTTCTACTCTTGTAACTGGCCCTGTTTTAATGTCCCTCCTACTGACTAGATTGTGCCTACGTGTTTATCCACTTGTGAACAGAATACCTTAGGACCCTGCAACAATCAGTGGAGATCTAGTCAATGAAGTGCAGAACAATATTTCTCTCTTTTTTTCAGGGAACTCTTAGCTGTGCTCAAATGAATCAAGTCCCACTTGCCTGTGTATCAGGGACCAGTGCTGGCTGCAATGAAGGCAGGCACCTTAGCTTAAATCAAGGTACTTCCATTGTAGGATTTAACTGGTTCCATAACTAGGAGTGACATCTCAAGGTAAGATGTTGTCAACTCTCCAGTGCTTGGGTGAGGCACTCCCCAAAGTGATGTTAATTGCTGAATCAAACTCCTAATGTGTGCAACCCCTTCCAGAAACATTATCTAGTATGACAGACTACTATTTGTTTACTTTTGCCATGACTAGACATTAGTGGGATGATAAGCCCTGGTGCTGGGAGGCTCGTATAGTCACACCTCCGCAAGAACCTTGCTGTGAGATAAGCTCACAAAGCTACACCAGTTTCTATCATCACTTTGCTTTTGAAATGGAATTCTAACCCATTTCCGCATTCTGTGCAAAGCTGTAAATAATACTGCATTTTAACAAATGGGACTAATAAGAGAGACCAGAAGTGCATTTGCTCACTGTATTTCATTTAGACCAGATAATGAAGCTGAGAGTTGTACTCTGGTTTTGGTATTAGTTGCCTGCAGATTTGGATCAGATTTTTTCTCCTTGGTTGCTCTGATATTCACTGATGCAATATAAAAATCTCCTCCTGGTAGAGGAGCCAGGATGGGAGGCCTGGTGAAAGAGAACGAGAAGGCAAATGCTAATAACTGTGGACTTTTCTTGTGAGAACATTCTAGAGACAGAGCTAATTCCTCTAGCTTCATTTCACTGTTTTAATTTTTAGGGGGTCTGATACGCTCAGAGGTTTCTAGTCCATCCAGCTCTTCCCCTTCCTATTATTTATGTGGAGTCGTGCTTCATATTGTTGGAGGTGTTTGGATTAACTCCAAAGAGAGGATGGCTTATCCTGAGAGCTGAGATGTCACAGTGATAAGGAATAGGCAGACAATGGGCTAACAACAGCATATTCCTTTCTCTTCTCAGGTCAGATACCTACTGGCATATTTTTTTTTTTTGTTGTTATATGCATTACTGCCAGTTAAGCAACTAGGCTTCTTCTCACCTATGTCAGCAGAGTTAATGGTGCTATGACAGATTTAAACATGTATGACTAGGAACAGAAAGTGTGTACTGGGAAAATAACTTAAATACTTGTTTCCTAAATGGCTTTAATGTTTGAGCCCATGGGCTCAAAGCATAATGGTAGTACTAGAGTTGCTATCTGTGTTTTGAACACCACCCCTGCATTGTCATCTACATTCTTGAAGGACAAAAGAGAAAGGGAGAGGTTAAAAAGCTTGAAGATCTTTCTGTGCATCAGTTAATTAATAATCAGAGAAATATATGTTCTGGTCTGAAGATGGTTGGTAGGAGGACAGCATTTTGTGATAAATCTATTTTATGGGGGGGATATTGGTGTTTTCTTCTTTTCTTCCTCGCCCCCGTCCACCCCTCCCCCCCTTCCCCCAGCTCCAGGGATTATCTAAAAAGGCTGTCCTAATAAATGATTTATCAAAGCAGCAAAGAAGGGAGAAAGCTGCTAGGATGGCAGCCGAGGGCATCTAATCTTTCTGATTCTGCACAGCTTCTTCCAGGAAGGTACCGATGTTGGAATCCATGACTTCTCCTGGCCTGCTCTTTTCCTGCAGGACTGTGTAAACTATTAGCAAGCAGAAACTGGGGTAGCATCTTCAAATTGCTTTATTTTCTCCCCCTCTCCTCCATAGGAAGTTATGTTGGTGAAGCTTGCAGAGGGAGCTTTATGCCTTTCTCATGGCACCAGCATGATCACCAATGGCTTTATGTAAGATATTACTTAAGGGCTGTTTTGTTTTAATCATCTGGGATGATAAAGGAGGGAATTCACAATCTATCTCAGAGTACATTTGAAGACTGTTTTGCAATTGCAACCTTTTAGTTCACAGTGAGTATTGTCTTTGCATGTCCATGAATTAGTTTGTGCACTATAAGTGCAGTCCTGAACGAGCCCATTGTTATGTCCCCACGAATGCTTAATTGGTTTTTCTGAGTTTTCTGTTTCTCTTTGCATCCAGCAAGGAGAATTAGTGGTTAATGTGCAAAACAGCCATTTGATGATCTGCTACTAGGCTGGAATAATATGTTGTCTCTCTTCAGCAGAAGTTTTCCTCTGGATGGAGCTCAATGCTTGGTAACTATGCTGAGTATCCCCTATATCGGAAGTCACGACCACAAAAAGAGGTACAGATGAAAGCTTTTAATCCATCCCCTGAACTCAGGGCAGATGTTCCTACAGCAGGTCCACTCATGTAACTAGGCTGCCTTTGGGCAATGGA